AGTACGAGAGAGGCATCCACATCCATACCCACCCACACCCACACCCATTTTAAACGAGAAACTGGTTTGAAAATAAAAAGACACCTTTATAAAACTTAAAAATTAACTTGATAACCTACGAAAAACCATGAGAATCTGTTGCTTCCCATGAAACAATCATAGAATATTTCTTTTTTATATATTTTCTAGATTAGGCTTTGACAGCTTCAATTATTCAATGCTTATGAAGGGAAATTAAAGCGATATTATATGACTCATTAGTCATTCCAATCGTCGACTTTACATATATTCTTATGAAATTTTGTTTGTTGTCGCAGTCTTTTTCAGGTATTACATCATATAAAATAAGTGTATGTACTTTTTCATCCGTTCTCTCTTTTCTAAGCAATATAACCATGACATTATTCATTTACATAATATGACGTCATTTAATCGTGAATAATCGATGTAAACATTTTTCATATTTCGATAGAGGAATATAGTGAGTTTGATAAAAAAATTTATATTTTATTATAGATTCGTTATTAAATTATATTATTTATGTTTGTACAAATATTTATCTTCTGTTCGATGTTTAATTATTATGTCACTAGTTTACAAGCTAGTGACTTCTACGTTCAAAATTTACCTCTTCTACCAGACGTTGAATCTACTATTCGTATGCATGCTGGATATTTACCAGTTGGTTCAAAAACAGATGGTGAATTATTTTTTTGGCACTTTGCCAAAAAATTCATAGATAATAAACCAAGAACAATCATTTGGTTGAATGGAGGTCCTGGTCAAAGTAGTCTCATTGGAGCATGGACAGAAATTGGTCCTTTTCGATTTTTAGATAAAAATACCATAGTTACAAATAATGGTTCATGGCATTTGTATGCTAATCTTTTATTCACTGATCAACCTATTGGTACTGGGTTTTCTTATGTTGATAGAGGAATGTTTATTGAGGAACTCGATGTAATGGCAGAACATTTTCTCAATTTTTTCGATCGATATGTTGAGATTTTTCCCGATTTACTCGAAGAAGATATTTATTTAGCTGGTGAATCTTTTGGTGGCCAATATATTCCTTATATTGCAAAAGCAATTCTTGAAAAACGATCATTATTGAAACTACGTGGCCTTCTGATTGGAGATGGATGGATTGATCCGATTTCTCTCTATAATTCGTATTTACCATATGCAATTGCAAACAATTTAGTCAAAAACGACTCTGAACTTTATACTAATATTACTCGTCTAGTTGCAATATGTCAAGACATATTATCGAAACAATTACATATTTTTGTTAATCCATGTTTTCCTATTCTCGATGAGATAATATATAATGGTAAAAGGTGGGAAAATAACGGAGAATGTATCAATGCCTATGATATACGATTAAATGCACAAAAACCGATGTGTGGAATGAATGGGCCATCTGAACTTGAATATGTTTCCGCTTATTTAAATCGACAAGATGTCATGTCTAGTATTCATATAAATGGAAAGAAATCTCAATGGAAAGATTTTACAGAATCGGTTCATAACGCATTTCAAGCATTTAATTCTAAACCTTCTATCGATCTATTGCCTGATTTACTTGAACAAATTCCAATCTTGATCTATAATGGTGAATATGATTTAGTTTGTAATCATTGGGCAGCAGAGAATATGTTGGATAACATGACATGGAATGGTGAATCTGGATTCGATTTAGGAAATGGAAAAGTCGCTCCAATCTATGCATGGATTGTCGATGGTGAATCGGCAGGTTATATACGCTATGCGCGGAATTTAACTTATATTCTTTTTTATAATGCTGGTCATATGGTACCTTATGATCAAGCACGTCGATCACAAGCGATGCTACATCAATTTATACAACTGAATTTAACTTATCCTAACAATCAAATAGGAACTAATCGAAAATCGAACTATGCAATATCAATTGTGTTTACTGTGATCATTAGTATCATAGTTTTTATTGGCGTCATCTGGTTATTTATTCTTAAACAACAATCAACAACTTATTCACCTTTTAAGATTATAAACGATGAATTTGTTACATTCGAAGATGATGTTTTAGTATAATTTACATCGAATTTAGCGAAATTATACTCATTTTGTTTTTTTTATTTTTATTAATCAGGATAAATTCCGTACAATAAAAGTGTTGTTTTTAAGACTCTTCATGCAAACAATTTAGCATATTTTGATTTGTGGGGTGTGAGTGTGTGAATTAATCACTCACACTTTTCAAATGCTGAATTTAGAAGGAAACTAAATTACTGACGAAGAAACAAATCTCTCAAGAATTACACTTTGATAAACAACAGATGAATAATTTTATTCAAAAGGCTGTGAGTGTGGGTGTGGATTAAGAGCCGATAAATATCCGCACCTACACCCACACTCTTGCTTATATTTGTTAAACCAATATTTTTGAATCACTCTACATCTTTTTATTTCTTTTGATATTTTAGTGTTATTTAAATTAGTTACAAGACAAGAAAATAAGAAGCGTGTCGTCATTATTGTTTCATATGTGTAAATTTGTAGTAAGATGAATTCCATGTAATATCACATGTACATATATGTTTTTGCAAGTTCTACATACAATGAGAAGAACAGATTGCTTTCGATTCACATTAATATTTAAACTTGACAACAACGTCTTGTGACTGATTCGATAAGAAAAGTGCGTACTGGTTGATTAGTAGATATCAACGTTATTACGCCCTGAAGTACAGATGACGCTACTAATATTTGGAAAAAAACGTTTAAACCATATGGAATAGAAGCAGTTTTGTTGAATAGCTGTATTACAAAGAAAGGAGTCCATCCGACTACAAACGTAATAAAAGTACTAATTGTTATTTTGAGTAAGACTATATCACGTTTATGAGATACTTGACCAGTAGTATTTGCAGCATGGACTCGACGAGTAGAATTACGTACAAACAAAAGAGTACGAGTATTACATATGGTAATGATTGTAATCGGTAGGAAAAGAATAATAATGATGGAATAATATGGCAAAAAAGTTGTTTCCACTGAACTTGAACATAAAAAGCCGTTCAGAAATAAGTAAGGCGAAGCGACGATAAAAGCCATTACCCACCCAGTAATCATATAACTCCACAAATATATATTAGAACGAAAGGTATGTTTATGTGCGTAAACGATAGTGAGTAATCTACTAATAGCAATTGCGCAATGTGAATACATTAACTGACACGTAGCTGTAACTGCCAAAAAACCTTGTACACGACAGGGTAAGTAACTGGATTCGTTGAGTAGTTGTGGAACATTCATCACTACCAAAATAATACCTAGCCATGCACTTGCGAGACAAACGTTGACTGTGAACCAATTGAGTTTATTTTTACGAAATACTGGTCGAATAACTATGAGAGTTGTATAAGCAATAGCAAGAATAATAGTAAGCGAAAAAATTGATAACTGGACAATGATAGTTGTAGAATCACTACTAGAAAATATATTACGATTGAAAGTGATATTATCGCTGATGTTGTTTGTTGTTAACATACTACCGTTATTCATCATTGATCTCACGAAGTGTTCGCAGTTAGTTGAGTAACGCGTAATATATAGTAATGATAATGACAAACACTATTCAAAAAAAGTGAATAGGGTTGTTGATTTAATTACAGTCTTGGTGAATATCTGAAAGAAACAAAAATAATAAATTATTCTCTAGTATGTGTAAGAAAAGATTTCTTAATTACTAACACTGCAATCTTATAATATAATGATGAATATGAAATATAATTGAAAAAGTGCAGAAGTATTGTTAATGACACTTTCATACTAGACTAATGCATTTTACACAGGGCAGATAATGGTATACTTCACATCTTTCAACATAAATCTATACTTTACTGAAGATGCTTATTATATATCTGTTTGTCACTGTTCTGTTTCTTTCTAATATGCTTCATAATTTTGATTAGATTTTTTTTCTATTCATCACAAATATATCAACACAAAAAGTAACTCTGATGAATAGTTTTTAAAACCATTTCTATAGACATGATTATGAATAAATCTTCGCTGGGGGTATTTGCGTTTTTAGTTATTGTGTTGACTTTTTTAATACTTTGTGTGCTGCACGTTCACTTCGAACGTTATAGTTCATCATTTATTTTTAGACTCATAATTTGAATAATAGTGAGCAAAGTAGATTACGTATAAATATATGACATCTTATTCTTAGTTTTAGAATAGAACAACAAGAATAATAAGAAATGTTTTATATGTCGATGCGTTGTTTTATTCTCATCAGTTTACAATGGTTTTCGAATAATAGCAAAGAAAATATTTTATCTAATTAATAAAAACATAAAATAACCTCAATGAAGAAATGTTCATCTGTCTGTATTTAAAAACTGAGAGAAAAATACTTTGAATGACTCATTCATTTTAAATAACATATTTTTTATTAAAAGAAACGAGCGCATTTCGCATTACTCCATCGTTACTACCGAGAAGGATGTGGGTGCGGGTGGGTCTCAGTATGGATGTGAGTATAGTTAAAGATGATGAATAAGTAAGAGAGAGGCATCCACATTCACCCACACCCACACCCTCATTCTTTGAGCAAATAAACTGAGAAATGTCATGTATTGGGTTGTTAAAATTTTACGAGCAGTAATTAATGAATCTGATGATTGGAAATCAAAACTATTCCTGTATTCAATTTATTATGAAAAGTTTTATAAAATGATTGCAACAATAATTGTGTAAACATGACAATATTTTCGGACGGATTTTGAAAAATTGTCTGTCAATTAATCTGATATCACAACATTGTACGTTTTAAGACAATCTCTGACAGATTCTATATATATATATAAAGAGTCGTCGCAATTATTTCAATGGAGTTCTTGTTAAATTAATCATTGTAAAAATTAAGGATTAAAAATGGTATGTTTTATATCAGAGATAAAAATAAATATAGAAAAGTACCAGAGTAGTGCGTTGTAAATGTGGAAACAACTTATATTTTTAATTGCTTTTATAACAACTATAAAGAAAGGTAATTATACATAAAAAGAAAAACAATGTAGAAGACGATGATTATTATAATGATAATCATAGTTCAATAAGATGAAGCGATGTAACATTCTCATTTTATTTATTAAGTTTGAAAAGCTTAACTTTAACATTTATGACATCTGTCGAGTAGTCTTCTTCATCTGACACTCATGACTTCATATCAACGTTTTTCATTGGAAACAAACACAACAAATTGAGGCGATTGGCCTTATACTATTGGCTATAAATAACATACTTATTTTTATTTATCGATAGTTTTGATCAAATTTCTGCTAATATTATCTACTAGTAAATTGTATCAAGTCTTCTTTTTGTAGGAAAGGACAAATTTTGGTACATATTGAAATATAGATATCTTAAAAACTATAAAATAACGAGAAGAAATATGTTCAAATACTTGAATAAATAAATATTTACAAACATTTGATAATAGATGAATTCTAGTTGCAACTAACCTATTTTTCTTAACAACTTACCCGAACAAGTAAAATTATAAAAGTAATTGGGTGTTTTTTTAATTATTTCTCATTTTCTTCTAAAACTTTTGAAACTACTCATAGAAGTATTCAACCGAGTTCTATGTTCTTATTCAGGAAAAGCCATATGCATGTCATACATCAATTATTTAACAAATGCTTCTCAAATGGAAAAGAAGAAATTATCATGTTTATATAAAAATCATTAACAATTAATAGAAAACTATATTGAAAAAAACATTTATTAACATATACAAATAACTTTTTACTTTATAAAATATAAACGATGAGCTATCAGTATCATTTTAATATTGATTAATTTATTTTGTAATAACCAGACGTTAACTTCCATATGGAAGTATTCTCTAAAGTTTTTCTAGGGTAATAATAAATCTACAAAATATATTGTCATGTTTTGTTATTTATGATATTCTGCATTGAACAATAAGACTCTTCAAAACAAGCTGAGAAAGAAGAAACAATAATGAGATTTTTCATTTTAAGCAGGAAAATAATTAAAATACATTTATGAATATTATCAAATGACAACTGTAATAAATATTTTTCATTCAAATATCTTGAGGGTGTGGTTGGTATTTATTTCTTAATGTGGTCCACACCCACACCCGCAAGATGCATCAACAGCATATCTATTTACAAATGAACGAATAAAAATAATTTTGTATGCTAAACTTCGTCATCAACAATCAAATCAACGAAAACTTCAAAACAATATAAGAGTAATCCAAATGAATAAAACCTCAACAAATTGTACTAAGATAGCAATTCCGACACATATAGTACAAATACTACAGGCCGTTGCTGAAGAATCAGCAAAATATTCATCGAGATCTCCAATACCGTGTAGTTGGAGATTAGGGACTTCAAGAAATTGATGTGGACCATATGGAAATCAACTAACATATAATGTAAGTGTAATTTTTTATGGTCGATCATAAATATACTTTTATTGATTTTTAGTTAATCGTTGATATTGGTCGCTCTCTTCCAGCAGAAACTGTCAATCAAATACATTATTCAAGTAAAGTTGCACCTGCACCAATGTCGGTTTCTGGACAACAAGATAATTATGCACCTCCTGCTTATTCTCTTCCAGTTTCAACAGTTTGTTCTCAATGTAGTGCATTACGACAAGATCTTTCAGCTAAATTTTGCTCAACTTGTGGACATTCATTTGATAGATATTGAATTTATCTTATATACAAAATTGAGAATTATATTGATACATCTACTTGATTATTTATTTATTCCTTAATCTTTTCGATTTCGTTTTATTATTATATTTTCTAAGGCACAATTTGATTTTTTTCTTTATTTATTTTCTATTTCAAATATATATATCAAATAATAAAATTAAATTCAAATTTATGTTAGTGTAGATATATCATTGTCTCGTTTGAATCGAACCTATCAAACTACTATTCAGAGGTGTAACACGATTATGTTGAATTATTTTCATTACAATCTTTTTTAGTTGTGGTGTAAAAATAATTGTTAATATGCATACGCCTGCCATTGATATACCAACAAAGAAAAATAGAACAGGAAAAGTAAGAGGATAATCTTTGTTTGTAATCAACGACACCACTAGAAAACCCATAGCAGGCATTCCAAGACTTATTAGAAAACTAACAGTTATAAGAATACGTCGAATGACGAGTAAATCACGATCTTGTCGTTGTTTAACAATAAGTGTTTGAGTATTTGCTTGACGACGGAGAAAAATTGTTATGCGTATATAAATAAATGATAATATTCCAATCTGATTTCCATAACCATTAAATGCAAGCCAAAGCATACTATATATATTAGTAATTGGTACAAAACAATAATAATCTGTCGGAAGATAAACAACAGAATGTAAAAATAGAATCAAACTCATTAAAATACAAGTTAGAATTAGTTCTATCAATGGTAAAATAATAAATAATCGATATGATTGAAGCCATCGTATACTTGGATATACAACTCGACAAAGACGAAAGAACGCCTAGATTATGAATAAAACAGAAGGTTCTCATTTTTCTAGTTAATCAACAATGAATTACCTGATTTACAAAAGCCCAATATATGCAACCGATTAGAATAGGTGGTAGATATCCTAAAACTACACACCATGATGAATTAAAATTATATTCATATAAATTTCCTAAAACTGTTTGAATATTAAATGATGCTATTATTCCAATATACGCCAAAACTAATGAATAAATATTAATACAATGAATAAATATTATTCGATCTTCTTGTTGTAAACGGTTATGACAAAGATGATGAATGATACAAATTAACATAATACATGAAAATAAACATGTTAATGAACAAATAATAAATGTAGTTAAACACAATACAAATGCAATTATATTCATTATAATAAACTAGTTGGAGTAAATAATATAGAAATTAAAAGAATACTTGGTTTATAATTTTGCAGGAAGTCACACAATCTATGAAATCTATTTCCGCTTTGATTAAGATATAAATTTACTTTTAATTATCTCAGTGTATTTCATGTTAAATATAGAACACAAAATTGGCACGACTTGAGTGTAATTTTTTTTCTATATCTAAACACAATTTAAAGCATTTTATATTGTAACTGTAACTTATCTTGTCGGAAAAAAATTTTTTACTAAAGAATGACAAAATTCGAACTATTGCGTTATTTTATGACACAGTTGTTATAGAAAGAGAACTTTTATATAATATTTTAGTGTAATTATTTGTTCACTATAATAAATCATTCACGCATTCTTCCTGGCAAAAAAAGATTACTAATTTGACTATTTGTCAATTGTATCTAATATAGGAATAATAACAAGGACACGTCCTTCATTAATATTAAGATCTGTTTATGAAGATGCTTTCATGATTTTCTGGTGTTACTTTCTCTCAGTGTTGAAAAAGTATGTTGGAGAAGAGAAAAAAAACATCCGCAAAGTTATATTATTACTGGTTGAATACACTTGATAATGAATAGAAGTAGAATCTTTCACTATACAAATAAATAAATTAGGAATACAACAAATAGGTTTTTCACATTCAAGAATCTCAATTATATGAAGACGAGCGACGTATATATGTTTCACCGGTCCTCAAAGGGTTAATAAATCTATTATTTGTCAAATGTATTCCTACAGACTTAAAATGTGACTATACCTGATCGAATTCAATGATAAAGTATTTTTGTCTTGACGTGGGGAAATATTATTCTTAACTTCACTAAAACTAGCAGTGAATCCATACTTTACTCTTTCTCTGAACAACAACGTAGGCTATTTTTTATCATAAATAAACACGCATTTACTTACATTGATAAATGATCTTCTCATCATTTCTTTTGATGTAATTTATATAGTATAGAATATGTAGAGAGAAATGGCGTTCTCTATCTTTCCATTTTCTCTACTTTTTTTTGCTAACGAGAGATTGTAGATTTTTATTTTATTCATAAAATGAAACAGCTCGAGAACTAATTTCATTATTTCTTTTCTATCTTGTCATTTCTATTTGTTGCATGAAAGATCTTTCAAAAACATTAATGAAGTTGCTTTGATCTCTGCGCAAATTATTCTTCGCAATATATTTTTTTCTATTTAATGTCTCTTTTCCAGATAAGTGCGTAAAATATTTTAATTAGAAAAATATATTTATCCGACGACTTGACCTAAACATATAGAAAAAGAGTTGATGACATTTCCCTAGTGAATGAACTCATACAGGAGTACTCAAAAAGTACTCACGTTAGAAAATGTCATGAGTACCTCTGATATTTGAATATTCGTATGCTGTATTTGTCGCGAATGTTAAGTGTTCGAATGCTACTAACGAGTACTTATATAAAATGCTGAGTATTTGAGTAGTTTAAGGAACTACTTGTTTCTAATTTTACGAGTATTCTGTTGGTACATTTCATATACGACCATATTTGTATTAGTTTTTGAATTATTGATATACTCTGGTTTTTAATCATTTAACAGTAACAAGATAAAATATGGCAGAATATGCAATTTAAAAAAACGAAGAAAGAAAGTAAAAAATAAAATGATATTTATAATCAGACATGTCGATTATGAGCTATGCTACATCTGTATATATAATTATGTATCATAGTTTGAAGTATGTTATATCAATTGATGAATGATGCATTTGTTATGTTCTATGAGGATACTTCAGAGTAACATACATCGAATCTAACGAAACTATATTCATTTAATTTTTTTATTTTTTATCAATCACGATTAATTCAATATAAAAGTATTGTTTCTTAGTAGTTTCATTATAAAAAACTAAAACTGGAATTTTAAGACATTGATTACAGCACCAACAACATGTTGATACAATTCTATTGATAATTCACTTTTTCCACCGCCACGAAGACATCCAGCTGGTTATCCTTAATTTTTCTATTGGTTCAAATTTTACAAAAATATTGTTTTTAGATGTTTTATTTTGATAAAAGTAAGAAATAACATACCTAAAAGATTTCAAGAATCTATTCTTACGAGCTATTTAAAGAATTGTTATTATATTACTAAGCTCTCGTGTGTATATGTCGTACCACATATATATATGAGCAAGATTAATCATCTTGTCATCAATCGTTTACTTCAATTCAATATAAAAACTCAGCTACTTTTACTACTTATATCGTATTACGAGCTTTTGATGGAGAAAAAATCATTTTATTTATTTATATAATGATAATAAAGTATATATTTTTTTAAATACTTTTACAAATATTGCTCAACAATAACGCACATTTATTTTGAAATTTTCAATAAAAAAAATTTCTTGAATTGCCACGAAAATTATTTAATTTTGTTGAATTGCATTAGTTCTTCCAACCGAGTATTTGTTTCAATGAAACAATTGCTTCTTGAATATCTTTTGATCCTTGAATATCTTTTGAACGCTCATTATTGCATGCTTGTACTAATTCACCAAGTACAAATCGTAGTTGAAAGAATTTCAGCTTCTTTTCGCTTAAACTACCACCCTTCTCAGCATCATAATTGTTCAAGAAGGTATCACGAAATGACTTGCTTTCATTTTCACTAATTCCAGCTTTTCGACATAGTTCTACGAGTCGTCCTTCGAAACTAGCTATATCTCGTTCTGGTGTACCAATCGGTTTGCCCATGGAATCCATAGAATAATGTAGTGAAGGTGTATCTATGAAAGTAACACCTACTGATGAATCCCAGAATAAGTTGCCAGGATGTGCATCTCCATGCACAATTGCTGCCTTACTTTGTTCACAGCAACACTCTTCTATCAAATGATCTAATTGTTGGCGCACTTCGTCGATTTTGAAAACAAAAATATCTTGAAGCTTTGCGTGTTCTTTGGCTACCACAGATACTAGATGTCGTACTCGATTGATCGATTTGGTTAGGTAACTGTTTAATGCCAAATTACCGGAACCAATAGGTTCTGTATGTAATTGTGCAAGAGCACGTGCTATATCGACTACTGCTTTTTGTAATTGATTCAGTATATTCTTTCTGGCACTGATTGTCGTCGCTTTTGTGATTGAATCAATGAGATCAGCGATTGATTCTCCTTGCGCTACCTTTGAGACCAAAACACCGGCATAATCAGAATCCTTGATTTTGGCTGCAGCCAATGGAGCTGGAATTTTGAAGCAAGTGAACTCAGGTTCTCGAAGTCGAGACAAAGATGATAGTTCTCGAACGAGTTCTTCGGATGTGGGAAATTTCTTACAAACAGCAACCATTGCAGATCCATCATAAACGAAGTAGATTGCTGCACCTGATCGACCTTTAGCTCCACCACCTGAATTTTTTTGTAATTTGACCTGCACTCCACCGAGAACAGCTTTTGTGAACTTGATTAAAGCATCATCAGTATTGTCAATTTCTTCAAGTTTATCTAAAAGTAAACTCATCCCGGGTGGATCCACCGATCCATCTGCTGTTCTGCATTTGATCGCCATATCCAATAAGTCATCGATCTTTTGACCGACTGAATATGTGCCTTCAGATTGAGATAACATGGAAGCTTCTTGATAATCATACATCTCGAGAGGAACCATTTCAGAGAAACTCTCATTTTCGCTGGTTGATGTTTGTTCCACGCATACTTTTCCTGCAAAATGTATCGACGATACGGCGTTAGAATTCGTTTTAAGTTGAGATCCGCCTATCGATAATTGAGTTTCAAGCAATGAATAATTTTCTGTATCCATACGTGCGGTTTATTATAGTAAAATAATATAAATTTAAATTGGCTTATGTTCAATTTACTAGTTTCTAAAGAAAAAAAAATATCAGTTAAAGATTGATTATAACGGAAGATGGATGCTTTAAACTATAAAGCGAAATATTTTTGCCTTTAAATATGACTTTTTCTCCTGTAATTTATAGTTTCAGAAGCCAGAAGAAACTTATTATATGTACATGTATGACATTGTTTGCATAGTGACTAAGCGTTTGTTTGATTTGCGTCAGTATTTTTAATACATTTTGGCTTTTTTTACATCAGTAATCGCACTTTCTCTTTCGTGTACACAACGAAGAAAAAAAAGAAATTGGATTAAACCCATCGATAACGTCATAAAATTATTTATTAGATGAAGAAAAACTATTTTATAATCATCGTGTTTCTGTTATATCAATAGAATCTAATTGAATATGTCGACGAATCTGTTCATCTTCTGGTTCATAGATATTTACAGTAGGAATACGAAGTTGATGAAGTTGATCACGACCACGACGACGTTTAGGTAAAACAGCGTTTATATATTGATTTCGAACAAATGAAGAAATATCAACAATACGAAGAATATCACGACCATCGAGAAAACTATCGATTTGTCTAAGACCTAATTGAATTGCTCGACGACCAAGTGTTGATTCACCATGTGGTTCATGATCAGGATCCCATTGTAAACGAACTCGACCTTTTAAACGTATTGATGAATCAGAAGGAAGATCATCAATATCAGAATTAACAGATCGTGCAAGATAATTATCAAATGCTGAACGTCGAAGCCAAATAGCAAGAATATGTTGTTGATTTGAACGTGATGCCCAATTCGATCGATACATCATCCAAAGAAAACTTGTTTTAATCCCTAAAAACTTAGATAAAAGAATGATATTGACATAATCAAAAATATAATCTTACAAGTCATTCGTTGTTCATTATAAGTTGGACATCCAGTAAAACAACCATTTTCACATGCATATTTTGCTATATCATGATTATAAGCTTGATATACAATAACTGATTCATCATCAAAAGATGCTAAGATCCATTTACCACCTGGTCGACTTCTTCGACTTGGCCATCGACGTTGTGCATCGATATATAATTCTGTATTCATCTCATATCTAGTTAACCAATCCATAATATTTTCTTTTCTATGATAACAAATAACTATTGTATATACTTTTTATAACTCAGACTTACGCAATAACAAAGGACGTATATGCAATTTTGTCATAGAGACACACGTTGTTCTTGTGCAATAACAATCGAGAAAGAAAGAAAGAAATGTGACTTATTCATAATATACTAATCAAATATTTAAGATATATTATATTTTACACTTCTCTTCAATTGGTCCGGACTTTTTTTTTAACAAATTAAGGGTGGGTGTAGTTAATAGTTATTTCTTAATGTGATCCATACCCACCCACAAACTAAATATGTCTAAAGTAATTTGTGTTAATGTCTTGAGTCCTCGTGATGTTATTATTGATAATAATGGTTATTTAGTACCAGTTCAAGAAGATATGAATTATTTTCTTCGATTTTAATCCAATAAACTTAACAAAAATTATCTAGGAATACACAACAAACGGCAATGATATTCTGAAAGAATGAATTGATAACAGAAATCGATAGTCATAATCTAACAATATTATCAAATATTTCAACATCTATATCTGACATTCGTGGAATGATATTTCTGAATGTTGGTTGCTACTGTCTATGAGAACAATAGTCTTGTATTTTCCAATCGGACAAGTCTTTTTTCACTAGTCAACTAGTTTCAGAAGTCCACATGGAATATGGCGTGTGAATGATTCATTTTTCTATGTTACATCGAATTTAAATAATTCACTTTATTCATTTCAAAGTATTGAATCATATCGATTATGGAATGAAGCATTTGTTCTTCATGTGTAACAATCGATGAATGTAATCGATTTTAGTTTACATATGAAACAAAATTAGCTCAGTGGACAATACCAAATTCGTCGATATTTGATATTAAAATTATAGATAATTATTTGATGTATCTTAGTGAATCAGGTATAGATAGAATTTGACGTATTCAACTGGATATTCATCATGAGAGTGTGGATCTGATTTGGGTGTTAGTAACTACATCAAGTCACACCCACACCCTCAAAAAGTAGATTTTCATCATGAGTAGCTCAAGTTCTATCAAATAATATAATTAATGTGGAAACTTCGGATTTTATCCAAGAGTTATGTGTACTGCAAAAAGTGTATATGGAAATCATACGAAAATATCAGTATTTTTTCAATAACTCGGAAATGGCTCGTCCAGTTAGGTTCTTCTTCGAACTCGGACGAGATCTTGACGAGATTAAACTATGCACAAAATTTCATGACAATCGGCTTAGCCTTTCATCAGTTATCGTGTAAACGGCCGAACAGACACACAGACCGATTCTAGTAGTGTTCTCACTTTTTGAGTACACAAAAAAAGATTTCACTTAATTTTTGCTTTACCAGCACCTTGTATAATGTCTAATTAAATATTTCAAGTGTAAAGGAAGAGCTGTCTAGATTTTGTAATGACGTAAGAAAAAACCTTTTATCTCTGTAATAGTTCATTTTTTTTCTTTTTTTATTAATAAATTATAATTCTATTGAAAACTACGCATTTTGTATGCTTATATTCCTACGTGTATCTTGTTGTGATGAATAATATTGATAAGTTGTTATTTTAGTTCAACTAGAAGTGAGATCGAAATCACAGAATTCGAACCGTTCATATTTTGTAAAATACGAGCAAAAATTAATGGACGAGAATAAAAATTTACACTCCCCTTCCTTCCCTTCAGATGCGATAGCCATTTAGTATTTCATATTTTATTTCCATTGAGTTAATGGTATTCCTTCTGGAAGATTTAAAAATATATTTTATCATGGTTCGTTGACTAAAAGTGCAAAATAGATAATTTTCAACTCGAGTTATTTTATCCTTCGTTGCATGAAAAAAAAATAAAAAAATAAGTTCAACAAGCGAAAAAAATGTCTTTTCACATATAATCAGAAAAAAAAAGTTTCTTTTTTCTTTACCTATGACAGCTTAAGACAGAAAGGAAATAGGATGAATACATTTAGATACACGTACAAAACAAGTCCTGCAGAGTATAGTTCATTTTAAATAATGTGAACTCACGATAATAAGTAACGTTCATATATATACTATTTTGTTTTTATAGATTCAAATTATAATCCGCTGTCTATTGGATTAAGTTTTATAATGAATAATAAAATATCTTTCATATTTGATATTCTTATTCTAATTTTAATATCAACTGCTTTTCTAACTTCTATTATAATACTTTTTACAATCTTTTATCATCGACATCGTTCTCCAATCAATACACCTATTTTTCTTATTTGTAATACTTATTTATCTATCATATATATCTGTATCATTTTTTTTGATATGTATGCTCATAATTTATATGATGATCTATATGGCAATGTTTCGTTTGATAACCACTGGTGTTATATACGTGCATATCTTCTTTATGTTGGTCTAGCTACATTGTATCATTCACATTTATTACAACCAATTTTTCGTTTCTTTCGAGTAGTTTTCTATAAATCAAAACAATTACAAACAATACGATTTATGTTTCGATTAGTTCTTATTCAATGGTTAATGGATTTTCTTTTAATATTACCTGTTTTATTTTTACATAACTTTGATTATACACCACAATATTACTATTGTCAAACATTATATATAGATATAAAAAAATTATTAATTTCTACTTTCATTGTATACTATATACCAATGGTTGGTATTGGAGCGATTTATTTTTATATTTTATATTATATGAAAAAGACTAAAAATCAATCAATTTTACAAAATCGCCAAGTATCTAATCAACGAGGTCTTGTTGTTCTTCATCGCATTAATTTTTTAATTGGAATACTTTTTATGGTTTCTTTTCCTGCGGTCATTATTTATCTCATTTATCTAATCACTAATTATCTATATTCATTAATTTATCATGTGCAATGGTTGACATATGTGTGTTCATTATCAATTCTTCCAATAATATCAGTTTTGTTAACACCTCAATTATATAAACTATTTTCCTGGAAACAAAATCAACGTATTCATCCAGTAAAAGCAATTCAGATTCATCATCATACTTAGATTATTGCTGGAAGACATTTAAAAACAGCATTTATAATAATCCTAATATATCTGCAATCTTTGAAGATGTGAGATAAAGGCAATGCTCTCACTCTAATCGATCAAATCCTTGTTCATGTTTATATATGTTGTACTTGTAATGTTTAACTCTGCTTAAGGACTAAAAAAAATAAAAAACTATACTTGCCACCCACATCTACACTTATATCCACGATGAAATTCGCCATCACTTGTATCGATGTTTAAAATCCATATGAATATCACATAAACAAAATTGTCCACGAATTCTTAAAGTGAATAAAAATAGGTGTAAATGGGTGGAAGGACATGAGTGTCAGTATTAAATCTATTCTTCCACTCATTTAATCACATTCATCATTGTAAATTTAAAAAAAGAATCTCATCGAGAAAATTATGCAGCACTCACATGAAAACTATTATTTATAAATAAGAACAAAATAATCATGTCGATTGCGTAACATCGTAACATTTTAAATTCAACCGACAAAAATAGTAAAAATTCTGATATTTAGTTATAGATTTTTGTTCTTCAAACAAGTAATTATACCATCATGAAAAATCAATGACGCGTAACAAATATAGTCTCATCTAATAGAAAGAAAGAAAAAAGTAACATACACAACCATACAAAACACGTGTCAGTATCTATTATCGATGTCGAATAAAGTTAACATTTCTTTTCATACATTGCCAGTAGAAATTGTTTACCGAATTTTGGATCATCAAAATGATTTTACTATTCTATGTTCAATGTACAATGTGTGTCAGCGATTCAATAGAATCCTAGATCGCTATTATCGATATCAGGTAAACATATTTTTATAGCAAACTACTTAAAGCATCAATCATTAATCGCTCTTGAAAAAGTCATTTGCAATATTAGAGGAGTTTTTGAATGTTCTACTGAAATCGTTCGTGAAAGATGGGAGAAAATATGTTGTTTCTTATAGAAACCATCATGAGAAAACCCGATCAACTTCATATAAATCATAGTGCTATCACAGTCTTTAATAATAAGATAGCACAATTTGTTATAATCTAAAACAGAAGAACACTATGCGATCTAACTCAACAGTCAGATTTAGCTGTTTTCTCTCCAAAAAACTTGATTACTCTTATCCTCTCTTCATATGTCTTATATATCTGTTTTGTATGATTTCACATAGGCACTAACTACGCTAGATCTCTATCAACATCAAATCGGAGATGTCGGAGCACAACATCTAGCTGTTGGATTACGAAATAACACGGTATCTCTTATTCTCTCACTGTTCGTTCTATCAATATATCTATATTTTTCATATAGACGATCACTACATTAGATCTCCAATCAAATTCTATCTGCAATACAGGAGTACAACATCTTGCTGATGCATTAAAACATAACACGGTAACTATTCTACTCTCATCATCTGTCTCTTGCATTCTCACTGGTATTTGTTCATTCAGAAACTTACCACACTACATCTACAATATAACCAAATTGGAGATGTTGGAGCACAACATCTGTCTAGTGCATTGAGAAATAACATGGTAACTCTTATTATCTGTCTCATAAGCTTTAGTGTATTTTTTCAAATAGACACTTACCACACTAAATCTACGATGCAATCAAATTCGAAATGTCGGAACACAACATTTAGCTGATGCATTGAAAAATAATACGGTGACTACTATTCTCTTTTTTCTGTCCTTGTATCTCTATCTGTATTTTTTTACACAGACACTTACCACATTAGATCTTCAATACAACTGCATCGGAGATGTTGGAGCAAAACATCTAGCTAATGCATTAAGATATAATACGGTAGCTTGCAGTTGTTCTTCATCTATCGCATATACTCATTTGTATATTCCACACAGACACTTACCACATTACATCTCGTAGGTAATCAAATTGGGGATATTGGAACACAACATCTCGCTCATGCATTACGCAATAACGTGGTAATTATCATTCTCTCTTCATTAATCTCATATACCTATCTTTATTTTTTTTTATACAGGCACTTCTTACTCTGACTATCGAATTCAATATAATCGGAGATATCGGAGCACAACATCTGGCTAATGCATTAAAATATAACACAGTAATTCTTCTTCTCTCTTATATATCTGTTGACTAATTTTTACATAGATACTCACTACACTAAATCTCTATAACAACCAAATCGAAAATGCTGGAGCACGTAGCCTAGCTAATGCATTACGCACTAACATGGTAATTATCATTCTTTCTTCATTTATCTCATATATCTATCTAAACTTTTTTCATACAGACTCTCACCTTACTAAATCTTCAATACAATCGAATCGGAAATGAACTTAATAATCAAATCGACGGATGTATTGAACGGAATAAAATGCTAGCAAAATTAGGCGTAGTGCCATTATCGATATGCTGCTGACGAAAAAAAAACTAGTTAATGCATGTATATATCGATTGATTCTAGCTTGTTACGAGGAATAAAACTGCCCGATTTGTATCGTAATAATGGTTCTAGAATACTTCCTCTAATTATTGATTTTTGCTAATTATATAACATACACTCATATATGAAAGAGAAAAAAGGTAAGTACCATCTTGAGGATGTGGATGTGACTATAGATTTTATTAAATATTAGAAGAAGAAAAAAAGCGAAAATTTATTTTGTCTTTATAATATACAACTGAAATTTAAAGATCATCATGTTCTTTTGGATTATTTGAAATAAGTTGTGCAATATTAATAATTTGTTCTTTTGATGTATTTTCTCGAGCTTGAATAACTAATTGTTGAACTTCTTTAGCTTTATTTGAATAACTATTATTACTGAGCATATGTTCAATATCATCTTGAAGATTATTTGAAACTTGACGAGCTATACCCATTTCAATAATTTGTAAAGCATTATCAAATTGATCACCAAAAAAAGGCCATACAAGTATTGGTTTACCATTTAACATACTTTCTAAAAGAGAATTCCATCCACCATGTGAAAAGAAAAATGCTATTGAAGGATGTGATAATATTGCACGTTGTGGAGTCCATTCAAGAATAAGTTGACGATTAGAATCAAGATTATTTAATGATGATGGAAGAGATGTTTTTGTTTTTAATGACCAAATAAATGAATGATTTAATAAAGCACGAGCAACAATATCAATAGTAGTTGATGGTAAACGAGCCACTGAACCGAAAGAAATATAAATAACTGAACTAATAGGTTGTTTATCAAGCCAATCGACAATATCTTTAGCCTAAAATATAAATTTTATATAAAAATTTTTAATTTAATTTTATACATTATCTTCCATTGATTGTTGACTATTAAAAATAAGAGGACCAATAAAACGAATAGGTGCTAAATTTCCAGATGATCGATAAAATTGTTCAATATATTTTCCATCAAATTCTTTTAATGAATTACAAATAAAACCATTTGCTTGTTGAGTATTATTTTGAATATAACGAAATACTTCTTTTAATTCATTATTATTATTTCTTTCATCATTATGCATACCATTAACAACACCTCGAAGATTACTCGGTAAAAATAAATAAATAGGTATTGATAAATTTAATAAAGGTAATGGAGCAAATGATCGAACAATAATCATATCAATAGGCAAGGAAATATTTCGTGTAATAGGTGATTGAAAATTTGAATGAAACAAATGATTTAATGCTGTACCCATTCGATTGATTACACCATTGAATAATCGAATATGATCATTACCAGGAATTATCTGTGAAATATTATTTAAATTGATTTGAGAATCGTGAATTTCAAATTGAGGAAAATTATCATTTCCATCAATTAAACCAACGATATCCAGTGTTTTACTATTGTTTAAATCAGATAGAAATCCTTTACGATCAAGTTCATTGATTTTATTTGCTGAAATCAAATATGTAACATGACAATAAGATGATAATTGTTTGGCAAGTTCTAATGAAGCTATAAAAATTTAAAAAAAACAGTATTATATAATTTATAGTTTTTTAAATTAAAAGTATTTACGTAGCATATGACCAAAGAAAGGCGGAGCAATAACAAGAATATGATTGGGATTTTCTCTTGATAATGAACAGAAAATTAATACGAAAAATAACGATAAGATGAACATCATTTTGTATTATAAAATATATTCGTTTGTTCGATCGTATTTATATATATTCTCGATGAACAGAAAGAAAGAAAAGAAACGAACGTACTTTAACGCACTTTTAGTGTTTATACTTTGAACCTATCGTTCGAATGTAATAGATGAGTGATAGTCATTTATTAAGGACGAACGATTAAAACATTACGCGATATCTAAATCGTTAGTAAAAAAAAAGAAAAATTATGGCTAGTAACATGTTTTTAAATTTATTGGTTAATCAAATTCGTATTTTGTCTATATATTTTCCAAATAATGAATCTGGCGACATCTATTTCATAATTTTACGCGTCCATATGATTTATAAATGTTTATTAAATAAACAAGATGTTTTACAAAGAAAAGGGGTATGGGCGTTGGTATATCTGTCTTCTTTTAATCTACACTCACAATTTATTCTGTATTGAAATAAAAAATCTCGTGATTATTACAAAAAATTGCTTATACATAAAGAATTTAATCAAATTTAAAATCAGTAATTGTTATTTCAAATACTTTCAGCAATAATCGTGACCATACCGTACTCTTTTAATGAGAGATGAGCTGATTTGACTTGAAAAAGAAATTTCTTCTTAATTTGTTGATTATTGTCACTGGTAGTCGCTTGTAGCATTGCAATTTTTTCTGCTTTAACTTTTGGAAAAAGAATTTGGTATAATCCTTCTGCAGTTCGGATAACAAAATATTGCTTTGTTTTCGGACTGAATTCATCAGTCGATTGATTAACAATATTTCGAAGTATTTCTAATTTTTCTAATTCAGTCATACCAACATATGCAGCAAGATAAATAAGTTGACATTGATTTAAAATCGATTTGACATTGTCACATAATGGATTTTGACTAATATCTTGAGTAATAAAATGCATACGTTTAGAAAGGTGCGGAGGTAACACTTGTTCACTTATAACTGATGCTAATTGATTTGCTTCTTCACACATATCAATATTGTAAATATCTACAAATGGTCCGTGATCACTAAGAATGATCATTGAAGAAGTTGGTATAGGACCGGATCCAATAAAAGCTACTTTTGTAACTAACAGATCACTTTCGTCATTTATTGTTGGACTTTTAGCTAGATGAACACCAAATTCTTGTAATATGTTCATTTCAAACTGAATTAACTCTTCATAACTGTGACGATGTTTGAAATAGTCGTTTATGTTTTGATTTTTATCAGCAGCGCATATCCTTGCAGATTTTAGTTCAACAGAAAATCCGTGAAAAGCAAATAAACGGCACAAGTTTTCACATGCTGTTGCTAGGTCGGTGTCTCGTTCAAGCATATGATTCAATATTGATGAAGAGATTTCATTTGAAGAACAAAATGTGACAAGTTCATCAAACATACGAATAACTTCAGGAGAATGTTCAGTTATATTGAGTTGAGAGAGTGTATTATTCAATTGAATAAGTCGCTCACGAATAATGTTGTCTTCTGTTGAAACTTCCATCGTTCTAGAACAACAAAAATAGCTTTTGGATAAAACTATTATGAATGCCCGTACGTACCATTGAATATAGTTATACTTCGTACCCTTAAGATTGTATTGGCATGCGATGACGAATGAAATGAAGTCTCAAGGTAAACTCTACGTTCTTTATATGTGATACTTTTCTTATCATTGTTTCTGTTGACTTTATTATATGACAACACACTTGCATAACAAATAACAAAATATCTCCTTGAAGTCTTCGCTCGTATGTAAACTGTCATAAATTATGTCAGTTTCAATATTTGATATAAAGAATTGATATCTGGGTGTAGTCGAAGAAGAGATTATTTCACCCATATCCTCAAGATTTTTAGAGATACTAATTTATTTACATTTAAAAACTAGAGAAATTAATAAGTTTGTAAAAAAAGTTTTAAATTGTCAGTACCACTGTTGATGATTGCAAAATCAAATTTTTTATCATTATTAAAACCATCAACAATAACGACGAATGAGGGTGTGGGTTTGGGTATTGTCTTTTTCAGAAACAGCACCCACACCCTCAATGATATATCAATTGAATTTAAATTCGTAGGTGTTCCAATCATTTTCTAAATATATGATGGAGAAGGTATATTTGATTGAAGAGAAAGAAAAAGTGAATAAATATTAGATTTTTTTTCTCAATATTTAACCAAAATATATCTGTCATTTTATTCTCTTACTTTGTTGTCGTACAATAAAAAATACCAGTATTCTGTTAATGAGAACGACATATTTTTATCGTTGGTGTGTTTTGCCATTTTTTTTAATCTTCAATATAGGCAGAAGAACGAATATAAATATAATCTATCACATTTTATTGTATGAAGAGGATTTTTTTTGAAGAATATTGACTCAAACTTGTATCGAGCTACTGACATTCTATTGGATATATTTTTTTTTCTTAAAATACGTGATTTTTTAGTTATTTGTCAATTAACAATGTTCTCTTTCTCGTAGAGAAGAGTCCAGTAAACATAAATTGTTTGTTTGCTTCCTTGCTTGTGTGTCCGCAGGGTCTAAAAAACATCGAAGACCAATTTTTCAGAAGAGACGTTTCGATGCAGGGACTTCGAATCTGATGTTAGTTCTTGCAAGTTATATAAGCAAAAGGTCCCGTAACATTGTAGAACACCATTTCTACGAGAAAGAGCTAAGCGAACCCTTAGACGAGCGTTACTTGTTCAGTAATTGTGTGTAATATTAGACGTCTTAGAAATTTATGATTATTGAAAATATTTTATTAATGAAATAGTCAATAAACGAGCATTTGTAAAAATCGACAAAGATGTATCATAAAATATAGTAAAAAAAACATTGAATATATATATTTAATATTTATTAAATGAATGTCCACATGATGAACAGAATTGACTTGTGGGAGCTTGTCGTGGTGCATTACATTGAGGACAAAATCCTGTTGATTGTCCAGGATAAGGTGGAGGTGCATAGTTACTTTGTTCACCAGGAGCTATTGTTTGATATGGAGCAATTTGATTACGATGATACGATACACTTCCAGGAGCAATAGAATGACCAATATCTATGGCTAACTAAAAAGAATGATGTTAACAAATTTATTCAAAGCTAAATCTACTGACTTGATAAACTACTCGAAATCTATGTTGCTTTTCATAATATCCAGCATAAGTTGTTTTAGTATCTAATCTCCAGCTACATGGTATTGGTGATCGAGAAGAATATTTTCTTGATTCTTCTGCAATTACTCGTCGTATATTATCTCGACGTCGAGATAGTAGAATACGAAATGCAATAGAACAAAAAATTATTCCAAAAATAGTTATACCTATTGCAACACCAATTAATGCAGGAAATCCACGGCGTCCAGAAGAATTAGCTGCTGTTACTCCACCAACAATAAATAATATTAAACCAATTATTATACTCAAAATAAAAATAATGCCTACAATTAATAAAGCTTTACGTTCAGCAGGTACATTATTAATTTTATAAATTGATTCTTCAAATTCATTTTGATTAATTATTCCATTAAGACGAACTGGATATGTTGAATCAAATTCTGATTTAAAACCTCCAGCTAATAATACCAAAAAATATTAAAGAATAGAAATTTAAAAAATGAATAATTACTTCGAACAACAGGTATATAGACTGAATTAGAATTTACCGGTACCTCAATCATTTTTTTTCTGATATATATCACATACAGATATATTTAAAAAAATCTCTTAAATAGTAAAAACCACATGACGTGTTAAAGCTGTAACAAAATAAAACACACAGATAGTAACTATACAACATTAGAAAAGAACAAAATTATATATTTGACGAAGATATTTGTCAACACGTATTTTTACTATGATATCTTATAACAACAAAATGACGTCGGAGAATATTCGTTTGTCTACATACAACATTAATTTTTTATCTTTATAAAACGACAGAACAAGATATAAAATATCAGTCATATATTTTTCTACGAATATTACATCAACATAATCTTATTCGATCTCATTTAGATCGGCGACAGTCCCTTCAAAAATAACGTTCGAATAGCTACGGTCAAGCAGCGTTGTCTGAGAGAGCACAATCGAAAGGTAATTACTCACTGTTCAAGGGTGTGGGTGTGGGTGTAAGCTGGAAGAGGAGATGTTCATATCCACACCCACACCCACACCCTCAAGATTTATTAACAAAAGATATTAATACTAGTATAGAGGGATGGACCATATCCCTTAAAAGGAAGAAACTGTTCCAATTCAAGGAGAAATCATTCACCCACATAAAATCAACGGGATATTCTTTTCCCATACAACTCGAATCAATTCGAGGTCCAAACATTGATCCATATCTCCACTCATAAGGAGAAATGAAAGAATGAAAGTGAGATATGGATGGTTTATTTTTTTACTCTAAGGTGATATTGCAGCAGATTTGGTTTTTTTATCAGCAGAAATGAATTGAAAATAAGATGAAATAATATATGCATATACCTATTCATAAGGAGAAATGGAAGAATGAAAGGGGGATTTGGATTATTTTATTTTTCATTATAAGGAGATGTTTGTGTTATCGTTAGTTGTATAAGAAGATGATAGTTTCGGAAGCGGAATATTAGTTTTGTATCAGTATAAAATGCGAATATTCAATGAACAGGTTGTGTTAACTTTGATCATTCTGATTTTTTGTAATAGAAAATATTCTACGAATATTATTTAAGTGATATGGTTTAGGTCAGCACTTGAAAACAAGGCATTTCAATGAAGATCGAAAGAATATAAGTAGGACGCATGAAGATAAGGGAAGGAAAAATACCATATGAACATATATTTAAAAGAAAAGAAGAAAATTCTGTATGATTATACAAGAAGGAAAAGAGAAAAAGGCCATATAGATATATATGTGAAGAAAAGTTAAAAATACTATATAATCATATAGATGAAAGAATAGTGAACAAATAGTTTATATGTTCGCTCACGAAAGATATTCTAGGGGATATTGTTTTTTACCATTAGAAATGGATAAATAATGATGTGAAATGGTTCATCCATATCTACACTCATAAGGAAAAATGGAACTTGAAAAAAGATTTCTCTTTAAAGAAAAGATAGATATCGTATTGATTTAGATGTTGAATACATATATATTCAGGTTTGTTTGATTTCCGTTTAAAATAAAAAGGATTTCTCTTTGCGGTGTATATCGATAGGGTATAGAATAATTCATTGAATCGATGTCGCTTTTGGTTTTTCCATTTCTCCTTAATGTGTTACTTTTATTGGGGTAAACCATTTCTCCTTAAAGTGGAACAGTTTCTCGGTCGACTTCTCCAATGGTCCACTGCTGCTAGTATAGAATTATTGAAAAATAATCGTATTAATATTTTACTTTCTTTGTTATCTTATAAACAAATAACTTCACCACCTTCACAATTAAAAGATCATAAAAAAATGAAAATACTTGAACAAAATCCTCAATTACGAGAAACATTATTTCCTTGGGCTATGTCATTATGAACTGGTGATATTTTAGTTGCATATAATACATCATATGAAGCAATATTATATTTAATTGATAAAATATTATTATTTGGTATTGAACGTCACATTTGACAATAATTATTTTCACAAACATTCGTTATCGAAACTAATTCTTTTTTTTAATAAAAAATTTGTGAATATCAATAAAGAAAACATAAAAGTTTGACATACCTACTCTTTTCCTAATTCAATGCATAACTTAAGAAAGAACTGAATAAACAATAATGTTTAGAATTTGTTTTTACCTCTTAGAAACGATAAAGAATATGTTATTTATTTTAATTCGAATACAAATATTAACAAAGAAATTTTAATAGTTACCATCATGCTTTTATATCGAAATAATAGAAGTTTAAATTATATAATTCGCTTTTCTTTTCATTAGAGATTTTCAATATAAATATGAATAAAACATTTGATTTTTTTTTTGATATTTTATTAATGACGATAAATAAATAAAGCGAGATTAAATATTTTATATAAAAAATTGCAAGATTAAAATATTCAAAAATGAAGAAAACGAAGTAAAAATTAGAAAATGTTTTTGTTTGTTGTTGTTTGATATAGATGCAAATGATTGTGTTTAGTTAGTAGGAGAGGAACTAGTAGAAACTGATGAACATTGAAGACTAACAAGACCATTAACGGTATTTCCCTAAGAAACAAAATTGAAATTATAAAAATAAAGAGAATTGATTTTGATAACATACTTGACAACAACTTTGACTTGAATCACATCCTGTATACTGGGTACCACTGGAACCACTTGTTGCAACATTATCACATGCAGTTTCTAACAATATAAATAATACTAATTATTTATTTCTATAAAAATGAAAAAAAACAAAACATACGCTGACTATTAGTATTGGTATTGCCACTAGAGCCTAAAATAACATTAGAATTTGTATAAAATAAAAGAAATAAATTCTATTTGTTAACATGAACAAATGATTAAACTTACTTGAACTACCACTATTATTACAACAGTGAGTTGCGCCTGATGAACATTTATTTTCTGTATTTGTAATAGTAGATTGTTTATTAGTATAATAATAATCTCCGTGATTAAGTGTATAGGGTTGTGCATTGCCCTTGTTTGTATTAGAATTACCGTTTGAGTTGCCTTGACCATTGCTATTGCTGCATCCAGATTTACCACTGCGTCTTTGTCTAACTGGTGATGCATTAGCTACAATGACGATCACTGCAATAATCACAAGACATAAACATTTCGACATTTGCATATTGAATATTAACGATTGTGTAATTTGATTGTTGAATAATGAATAATAAATGAGATAAATTTTGTTGAGATTTTCAAAGGTTTATATATGATAGAAATGATTATTCATGTGGAAAAAATATATTCTGTTTTTGTTTAATATTCATACGTCAATCGTTTGATTTATTTTGAGATTCAAAAGAAATCTTTACAAAATATGATGATCATATCTGGATTTAGTCAAATATTATTGACTCTTGTCAATAATACAAAAGAAAATAATGTTTAACATGAGAATGGTTTAGAGAGTAGAGTAATGACGTTATCTTTTCTCTTTCTTTTCTGTCTAATTCATACAAAAGGTGTATTTTCTAAGAAGAAAGGAAAAATCATGAATAAGACAAAATTTGCACTTGATAATCTGAGAAAAATAAATGTTCGTTTCAAATAATTTTAAATTTACAAAATAATAATATTTTGTTTTTGTTTCAAATACGAAATTTAAATCGTAGAGAAAGTATTGATTGCGTATATGATGAAATTTAAATAATCTTTGTCACATAATGAATAAATATATAGAAAGTTTCATCAACGAATATTTAAATCTCATAATATTAAGAGAAGATAACATGAGTGTTTTTTAAGAAATAGTACCATACAAAGTTTTATTAAAATAAATAAATACGAGATTATTGATTGAAAATTCGTATATAAGATATCAGTTTAGGAATATTTGAGAAGATATGTTCATTATTAAATTAATTGAGAATTTGACAATAGGAAATTTTAGTTTAATAATTATCTAAAAGAGAAATTTCTGACGCGAAATACTGATATTTTTCAGCTTTCTACATTATATTAATATTCAATAATAATAGATTTTAAAATATCACTTGATATTCTTTAGTTTTTTCATAATAGAATTTAGCTTCACACAACTAATGTATTATTATTTTCTACAAATAAATTATTTCAAATAAAAAATGAAATGAAGATTTATTTTTCTTTTTTTTGAATTTTATGTTCGCAACAAAGAGAATCTTTCATTTTCAAACAGATACATCGAGTATTTATCTCATATTATCAAGTGCAACATTCGTCTTATTCATGATTTTTGTCGTCGTTTCTTTTTTCTTTTCTTCTTAGAAAATACACCTTTTGTATGAATTAGACAGAAAAGAAAGAGAAAAGATAACGTCATCACTCTACTCTCTAAACCATTCTCGTGTTAAACATTATTTTCTTTTGTATTATTGACAAGAGTCAATAATTTTTGACTAAATCCAGACATGATCATCATATTTTGTAAAGATTTCTTTTGAATCTCAAAATAAATCAAACGATTGACGTATGAATATTAAACAAAAACAGAATATATTTTTTCCACATGAATGCTCATTTCTATCATATATAAACCTTCGAAAATCTCAACAAAACTTATCTCATTTATTATTCATTATTCAACAATCAAATTACACAATCGTTAATATTCAATATGCAAATGTCGAAATGTTTATGTCTTGTGATTATTGCTGTGATCGTTATTGCAGCAAATGCATCACCAGCAAGAAAAAGACGCAGCGGTAGCTCTGGATGCAACAATAGCAATGGTCACGGCAACTCCAACGGTAATCCTAATACAAACAATGAAAGCGGAGAAAACTATACGCTTCAACCAGGACAATATACATATACTAATAAACAATCTACTATTACAACCACAGAAAATAAATGTTCATCAGGCGCAACTCACTGTTGTAATAATGGTGCTAGTTCAAGTAAGTTTAATCATTTGTTCATGTTAACAAATAGAATTTATTTTCTTTCATCATGTAATTTATTATTCTTGTACAAATTCTAATATTATTTTAGCGGGTGATCGCCGAAAACGAAATTCTGGTTCGTCCTTTGGAAATCTCTTCGGTTCCAGTACTAATAGTGAACGTATGTTTTGTTTTTTCATTCTTATCGAAATAAATAATTGATATTATTTATATTGTCAGAAACTTCATGCGATAATGTTGCAACAAGTGGTACTAGTGGTACTCAATATAATGGATGTGATTCAACTCAAGATTGTTGTCAAGTATGTTATCGAAATCAATTCTCTTTCTTCTCATAATTTGAATTTTGTTTCTTAGGGAAATACCGTTAATGGTCTTGTTAGTCTTCAATGTTCATCAGCTTCTCTTCCTAGTAACTAAATACAATCACGTTCATCTATATCAACCAACAACAAACAAAAACATTTTCTAATTTTTAATCCTGCAATTTTTTTGACTAAAATATTTAATCTCGCTTTATTTACTTATCATATTTAATAAAATATCAAAACAAATCAAATGTTTTATTCATATTTACATTGAAAAGCTCTAATGAAAAGAAACGAGAAGAGTTATATAATTTAAATATTCGATTATTTCGATATGAAAGTGTGATGATAACTAATAAAATATCTTCATTTAATTTTTCTAGTACTTGTATTCGAATGCAAAAATGAATAACATATTCTTGATCTTTTCTAACAGATAAAAACAAAAACTATTGTTTATATTTTTGTGCAAATCAATTTTACTCAATAATTCTATGATATGATTATTTTTGTTAAACTAAGTAATATTTGTTTTGATTTCAATGATTTATTTGTAAGGTGTGAGTGTGGTGCATAGGCTGCGGAACGTCTTGAATTTCGATGGGGCTCATAGTGTTTTCTAATTCTCATCCATTGAACTGCGATGGTGAAACTTTTATTAGAGCTGCAGTGTCAGAAAAAGCTGTTTTATTAAGTTCAATAAATCAAAAGAATCAGAGAATAAAAGATGGTTATGATTCAAAAGAACCGTTTTCTTTGTTCGTTTCTTGTTTTAACTGATAGAATCCATCTTCCCCTTGTAAATGTAAGTTAGAAATGCACTATTCAAACGAGTATGTATCATAGGTAGGAAAGAGAATCATCAAGGCAGTGAAACGAGGAATAAATATTATTACCTAACACTTCTAAATACATATTCTTATCTCAAGCTATTAGTCTCTCTTGTGAAATCAAAGCATAACTAATATCCGATTGCAATTATGTCAATTCGACGTCAAGACTGCCACTACGAACAACACATATCAAAGAAAGGTATATTTTCTATGTCTCTGAAAGGACAGTAGTGACGACAAGTGAATAAATGACGTGAAAACTATAGATTAGCATGGAGTATCAAGTTCAAAATTAGGTGAGTCTCATAGACTCCGACGCCCTTGAACTTCTACATTATTTCTTGTATAAGAAGAAATGATATTGATTGCGAAGAAAAGTACATCGAATAGAAAGAAAGATGAATAACATTGTAAGATAAACGCAATACAATTCAAGAATTTGATTAATAAAAATTGTCGTATTTATTATGTTGGTGCTATTCAGAAGGTGATTTATGTATTGTATTTATAGTAAAATCAGTTTTTTTAGTATTACTTTGCCAATATTACATTCTTTCAAATTTTGACTAAATTCGAACATAGTTTAATAAATGATTTTATTCTTATTTCTAACTGAAGATAATTTCTATGAATACATATCGAAACTTATATCTCTTTGACCAAATTTAACATGATTCGATTTAGATCTTGAAGAAGATACAAAAACTTTTTCCAATTAGATTAGGAAAAAAAATAACTTGTTTCGAATTGAGTGTGTGCTGAAGCAAAGATAATTAATATTATCACATATTGTTCCAAATTTAAAAATATTTAGAATTCATATTGAATTACCAGTTCATAATGATTACTTCTTACTCAAGAAATTTCTACAAAATTTTCGAAAACTAACTCATTTATTATTGAGAATATGGTCTGCTAATGATAAATATCAACAACATAAATCGAAATTTTGCGAGAAATACATGAATATATTGAATGGCATGAAGAGGGTGGACATTATCTAAATATTTGATTATGAATGATCTTTTATATTGTTTTAACTGTGCCGATATGGCTAATAATAATTCAGGACGAAAGAGCAGTTCTTCTTCTATATTTTTTTGTGTTTGTTTTGTGAAGATCAAGTAAGTTTGATTCACAATCATAAAATAATAAAATATGAAGATTAAAAAACGGCTTATTCTAATGTGTATACTTACATTTATTTGTACTTATCTTGAAGATTTAGGAATAATCAGAGCAACCATCTTGAGGGTGTGGGTGTGAGTGTTGTTAGATTAAGATAAGAGAAACCCACGCCCACATCCAATTCACTGTAAATAATTCTCTCATTGGCGTTAAATCTCAGAAATTATTCATTATCAAGTGTATTCAAGCAGTAATAATAGAACTTCTCGGATGTTTTTTTTCACTTCTTTCAACATATGAGGAAAAGTAACACGAGAAAATCATCAAAGCATTTTCATAAATAGATCTTAATAATTAACAAAGGACGTGTCCTTGTTATTATTTCTATTTTAGATACAATTGGTAAGGAGTTAAATTATAAAGCTTCTCTTTTCCTAGATGAATGGCTTATTGTAATAAATAAATAATTATAATGAAATACTATATAAAAATAACAATAATTTCATGCTACAAAAAGTTTTTTGTCTCTCTAACAACTTTCTCGTATAAAAACAACACAATAGTTCACATTTTGTCATTCTTTAATAAGAAAAAAATCTTCTATTGAAAAACTATTTTTTATTCAATATTTATATTATAATCAAGATCAAATTCTGTCAACTACTAAAAAATGTATGTTATATTTGTCGCTTTTTTCCGACTACATAAGTTACGGTTACAATATAAAATGTTCTGAATTACGTTTAGATATACAAAACAAATTGCATCCAAGTCGTGCCAACTTTATATTTTTCATCTAAAATGAAATACATGGGGATAATTAAATGTAGATCTTAATTAAAGCGGAAATAATTTTCATAGATTCTGTAATTCCCTGCAAAATTGTGAATCAACTACATTTCATTACCATACAATCGTATATTCAGCTAAAACTATTAAGATTATGATAAATCAAATTGCATTTGTATTGTGTTTAATAACATTCATTATCTGTTCATTCACATGTTTATTTTCATGTGCTATATTACTTTGTGTTATTCATCATCTTTATCATCATCGTTTACAACAAAAAGAACGAATAATTATTATTCATTGTATTAATATTTATTCATTAGTTTCGGCCTATATTGCAATAGTAGCATTATTTAATATTCAAACAGTTTTAGGAACTTTATATGGATATAATTTCAATTCATCATGGTGTACATCTTTAGGATATCTTGCTCCTATTCTAATCGGTGGAATATATTGGGCTTTTGTAAATCAGGTAATTTATTGCTGATTAATATACTAGAACAGTAAAAAATGTTTTCTTTTGGTTCTTAATCTAGGCATTCTTTCGTCTTTGTCGAGTTGTATATCCAAGTATACGATGGCTTCAATCATATCAATTATATATTATTTTACCATTCATAGAATTGATGTTAAATTGTATTTTAATGAGTCTAGTTCTTTTTGTGCATGAAGTTGTTTATCTTCCAAAAGACTATTATTGTTTTGTACCATTTACTAATGTGTATAGTATGCTTTGGCTTGTATTTAATGGTTATGGGAATCAGATTGGAGTATTATCATTTATCTATATACGCATTACAAGTTTTCTTCGTCATCAAACAAATATTCAAACACGTATAGTTAAACAACGACAAGAACGTGATTTTCTCATCATTCGACGTATTCTCTTAGTTGTTGGTGTTTTAATAAGTCTTGGAATCCCTGCTATGGGCTTTTTAATGATGGCATTTATTACACATGAAGAACATCCTCTTACGTTCCCAATTTTTTGGTTTTTTATTAGTATATCAATGATAAGCATATGCTTATCAACAATTATTTTTACACCACAATTGAAAAAGATTGTTGTTAAAATAATCCAACATAATCGCGTTATACCTGCGAATGGCAGTTTGATAGCTTCGATTCAAACGAGAAAATGATACGTCTACTATGTACTAAATTCTACTTATTATATCTAAACTATGTTTTATTAGAACATATTTTAAAGCGATAAAGAAAAGTGGGTGTGGGTGAAGCTGTGTTCTCTTCACACAGATCTGATGACGTTCATTAAATAGAAACAATATAAAAGAACGTGATAAAATGGATTATTTAGAGAATATATTTAATTGACGTCAATCATCTATTTATCATTGAATTTAATCATGTCTCATTATTAACACAAGTTTGACCAGAATTATTCTTTTTTCTCACGTCTTTTATCTAAAAAAAAAGGCATTTTCAAAAGAAAATCATATAAAGAATTGGCAATTAAATCTAAATAATAATAATTAAAATATGTTGTTGTTTTTCTATACGGTGTTTATTGATATTGAGAAGAGAAAAAAGAGAGATATAAAGAGTGTGGGTGTGTATGGTTGTGATTTCTGTACCTAAAAACTAACTCACACCCACACCCACCCATCTTTAGCGCCGAATTTATTTCCCATAGAAAAATAATTTCTGTCTGAAAGATTAGTGAAGTACAAACAATAACTGAAAAGTAAATAATCGAAGTATGAATAACAAACTTGCGTGCACTACAAAGACAAATTAAAATGAAGTGAAACAAGAATGTAGTTGATCAATGAGAAATCTTTTTCTTCTATCTACACAAAAGGTAACGAGTTTCAATGGATATGTTGATGATCTTTGTGCGTTTTTTTGTCCCTTATTTTAAAAGTAATAGCTGAATAAAAAACTGTGATAGTATACAACACCATATTGATACGAAGAGAAAAAGGTAATAACGTCACTTATGCATTCACATCCAATGTAAAATCTGAATATAATCAAATAAAACATATAAATGATGTCATATTCGTTGGAAAAAACCAACAAATATTATTTGTCATGATTACTCACGTAAAAAAACAATAGAAGACAAAAACCTAAACGCTTGATTGAGTTAGTTATGACAAGGAAGAAAAGAATGAAAAAGATTTTTATTCTTGATACAAAAATCAAAATCATATAAATCAATAGTTACCATGGACGCTGAAATACGTCTTTCCCCTGTAGTATCGCATTATGCTGATCCTCTCGAGATTTTGGCTGGTAATGATGAAATCAATCAATTAACAGATTCAAATCCATTATCAAATCGACGTCCAACTCGATTACATTATTGTTGTGATTATTTCATTAATTTATTTGGTATTTTGATTATTCTTTCATTGATGATTTATCAAATTGTTCTTGCTTGTTATAATTGTGAACTAATAAATAGCAGTCTTGCTAGGATTCGTACCTCGTTTTTTCTGAATACTCCATTTGTTTTAGCTATACTGATCTACTGCGTTATAAGAGTGTATAAAAAGTACACGCTTGTATTCCTGCACGTGTTTACAACAGCTGCTTCGTGCGCGGTGTTTCTTATCTTTTATTCGTTATTCACAGGAATGTTTTCTCTCGAATTTCAAGAACTGATGGAGATCAAACGCGAATTAAATAATGCAACAATTGTAAACTCATTACCTTGTCCAATGAATCATTATCAACATATGTTTTGGATGAAAATAGTTCAATTATGTTTCATCGGTTTGTGTATTATTGGTACGAAGATTGTTAAATCATATGTGGATAGTGACCAAATATCTTCTCACTCCGTGACTATGAATATCAGTTCAGACGAATTTATAAGAATTTACGAAGGAAAAAGATGTAATGAATTTCTTTTTCGAATCGCTAATTATTGGGAAAGTTTTTCTGATAGAATATTTCAACGTCATAAAGGAGAAATTGTTGTGCATGTTTAATTATTTGTTGTAATATATTCTAATTAAAATAAATATCCTTGATTTTAATCACAATTAAATGTTCATGTTTTACTTCCTTCGATGAATCAGAGAGCTATGATGATAGTATCTGCATTTTTCTTTTCGATTAGTCTGTCATGCGTGATAAGACTGACTAATTTTCGTTTTTCTTCCGATAGATAAATAAATGTAAAGGTATTCGTTGAATACATATATTTGAAAAGACAACATGTGTGAAACATATTTGGATAATTTTCCAGATATAGTATTCGATGAAATTTTTTCATATTTATTCTGTCATGAAATCTTTCAATCATTTTACTCAATCAGTGACTATATAAATAATGTTGTGAGTAATTATAATCATTATTTCTTGGATTTATCCAAAGAAGATATTCGAAAATCGGCATTTGATTCAATTTGTTCAAATATTTCTCCATCACAAATCATTGGACTAAAACTTGGCAAGACAAAATTTAATCTATTTGATCAATATTTACTTGGAAGAAATGGTGAGCAATCATTTACTAATCTTCGTTCATTGTGGCTTGATCGAACAATTTCATATAATGAGAATCTTTCACGATGGATGCAGTCAAAAATTAATCTAAATAATCTTCATTCATTTCATTTTACTTGTTTGGATGGTGATTTATTTGCACAACTACACAATTCTTCATTCGAAAATCTTTCTTATCTAATCGGAAATTCAAGCAGAAAGTTTCGTCAATTATCTAATGGTATACCAAAACATTTAAGAACTTTACATATGTTTTTTGATACTATTGATGATCTTAATGATTTAATTGGTTCGAATGCGCATCAATTCTATTCGCTTGGCGTTGGTTTTCAATGTCAAATAGATAATCTTCATCAATTCTGTTCATTATTCAAAAATCATCAATGGACACTCTTAATTCAATTCAACTTAAATTTACAAGGTAAGCTTTTTTTAATCAAATATTCTCATTTGAAAGTAAAACTGTTTTATACATAGGAATAAATAATATTCATTTCGAAACAATAAAATATCTCTTATCGTCAATGTTTCGACTCAATTATTTGACGTTAATATTTAGTAAACAAGAATTAATTCATCAGAGCGATGTGCTCAATGGTTTCCAATGGGAATTGTTCATATCCGAAACGCTGATTTATTTGAAGAAATTTTTTTTGAAAATTCCTCTTACTGAACAATCTAACGATGAAATCAATTTTTATTTTAACACATTTCAATCATCATGGTGGATCAATGAAAAAACATGGTTCATCGAATATTTTCCGGTAGAAAATGTTTTTATGACAGTAACATATTTTGCTCCAAAAATAATCGATAATTCAATTGTTGACTCATTCTTTATGATGAAACGATCGGAATTATCTTATTTGAATATCCGAGAAATGAAACTTTATTTCGATAAATTAAATCCTATATATCTATCCATTGATCATTATTATGGGCGATTTTGTAATGTTAATCGTTTATCATTGAATGGACATTTAACAGGAGATATTTTCATCAATATTCGACATTTAATTAATATAGAAAAAATTGTGCATTTTCAAATTTCATCAACAATTACACAATGTTATCGGTTAGCGCAATTTATCCGAGATATGACAAATCTTTCGTCTCTTCATATCCAATGCGTGCATGTTCTTCATATATTTGATTCGATTTTATCACCATTGGTTTTAGTTCGACGTCTTGATTTATTTGGTTATCAGACAACAACAAGAAGTCTATTGTTAAAGCGTGTACGCTTTCTATTTCCTGCCTTGATTCATTTAACTATAGAATATCATTCGAGGCGACTATTTCGTTATGTATTGAATGAATTAGTTCACCTTGAAGAGATTCATTTTCATTTAAAAGATTATGATCATGTACCAAATCATCATTGGATAGAACAATATACTCGATTAATTAATCATTCATTTCAATCAGAAGTTTTTAATGTCAATCATAAAGAAAGAACATTTGTACTATGGATTAATCAAGAGAAAGTTAACAATCAATCTATCCATCACAAATGTCTTATCCAATGATTTCATAACTGTGAATACCTTACTGACATCTATTTGATTTCTTTTTTAATCTTGATCTTAGTTTGAAGAAATAATCGAGATAAATCTTGAGGGTGTGGGTGCATTCTATGACAGATATTCTCACACCCACACTCATACTTTTAAAACCAATTTGAATCAGAGATTCTGATCGTGATTGACAATTCATCGTTGTCGAATGAATTGCAGTGAATATTAGATAGCTGATCTGATTTTCACGACTTTGATTATACTTGAATAGAACTTTCCTACTAATTCAAAAGATTCATCCACCCATTTTTAGAGTTTTGCTTTTGTATATACTGTAGTTAGAGTTAAATTCATGCATCTTTTTGCTGCTCTTCAGAAAAATACATTCTATCACGATTAACAATTCTGCTTTTTATATATGTGATAACTTTTTATTCTAAAATAGATCGAAATACCCAAAGAAGGAATCCTTTCTCATAAATACTTATTGCGCATAGAAACATAAAGAACGTGATTAAAAGTGAGTCCTGACAAAGCAGATTATTTAACAGAATCAAATAAAAAAAGACATCAAACTAATCATGACTTATTCATTAACGTCTATCATTTATTGACGATGATAGTTGATATCTTATTTTCAGTTAAAACACGTCCGATGATTAATGCAGACTTTGATCAATTCTCTCCTTTCTCTTCATCACGTTCTTCTTCACTAAAATCAAAAAATTTTTTATAAAATCAAAAAAAAAGAAACGACTCATGTTGAATTAAAATTCCATTCTATGGTTTTGAATTGGAAAAAGAATGAAATTCAATGAGAAATATCAAATTAAATCATCAATTTTGCTCATTAATTCAATCTAAAATCAATTTTTCATCTTACCTTCGACGAACAAAACCTTCTGTAGAACATTATTTTTTCTCTTGGTGTGTTATGTTGAAAGAAATGAATGAGAGGAAAAAAGAAAGAGAGAGGTATAACTAGAAAGAAAATCTACAATGACTATCATTTTGTGTTCATCGAAGACAAACAAGAAGATTATTTTATTAGTTCACTATTTTATCAAAAAAAACCTCTTGTTGAATAATGTGGAATATGTACGTATTTATCATTATTCTTCTGTTCGTTCTAAATAATAAAACATCAGGTAAATACTTTTATTTGTCACATATTGAACATCAGCTACTGTACAAAACTGACATTATTTGTTAGAGTTTTAGTTAAACAAAAGGGGATGAAATAATAGATTATAGGATTTGACAGGAATTTCTGTTATATATTGAAAAGCAATGGTACTGATCTCATGCAGCGGCTATACAAGATTTTTTTGTGGTTTGAAGAATGAATCTAGTTTAAGTTTAAAAGTATAAGTTGAAATACTGATTGATAGTTTCAAATTGATTGAAAACTGGAATATTCTTGAAATCTGCTCTCGATATCAAATTTATTTGTAGATCCTGAGATGAGAATCAGACATAAGAGAAAAGAAAGAAATCTATTTCATCATATTGCATTATAACATGTGGAAAAAGAGAATTAATTGACTTTTCCAGATGAAATAAAAATGAAAAAAAGAAAAGATGAACAGATTAATGTAAATGAAAATAAAGTTCTGTGAAATTATTTCACTATTTCGGTTTCAGATAAAAGTCGTAGATCCATTATATAAAATTTGCTATGAGTGATAAATGATTGTTGTATTTGATGTACTTAAAGAGTTTTATGTATAAAAATAGAAGTGAAGTATCAAGTTAGTTGATTATTCACTTCTATATTCATACTATTTACTCTTATAGAAAATGAGAAAATTTTAAATTTTTGGACTACAGAAAAGGAAAGAATCTCTCCTTGGAACATATGAAATTATCTTGTAGAAATGAATTTGATTGATCAATGAAATCATAAATATTCTTCATCGACATTTCCGAAACAAGATTACTTGTGAGAAAATATTAACTTTCAAACTGTAGAAATGAATACATCTGATAGAAAGAAGTCGAGAGCAGAAATCCTATAATAATGTAGAACTATTTCGCGAGTGCAAATTAGAGAGGAGCGGGCCCACGTTTTTTTGGACTCGGATCCGATCCAGACTCGGGAAAAACAGAATTTATTAGACCCGTACCTGACTCAGATCCGGTCAGGCTCAGAACCAGATTCATTTTACTAATATATAGCATCCTCTGTGTGTAAGGAAATGTAAAGGATCGAAGTCGTGGCTACTTTTAATTGGCTACAAGCAGAAAAAAATGTATATAAAATCCTTTTTGTTCATTCATATCGTATCACTATCAACCGATGCTTCAGAAATTTAAATTTTTCATTTAATTTGAAGTGATCTAAATTTGAAAGTGAATGGAAACCGGGTCTGCTAAAATTCGAATCAGACGCGGACCCGACCAGATCCCGGGTCTGGGTCGATTCGCAGCTCCCTAGTGCAAATTTATGATTGATGCTACCATTTTTATCACTAGACTATCATAAAAGAATATTGCTGTTAAGTAAGACAACATTTGAATCGAAGGTCAAATGCAAAGAAGTTTTTCTCATCTTTAAAAGGAATCGATGATTATTGAAACTGTTTTCTCAAAATATTCAAGTTGAAATAATGAGAGACGAAAACAAGAAGAGGAAAAGTTTGATTAAATTTAATTATTATTTGACAAAAAAGTTAATGAAAATAAGTTTTGTTCAGATCGATTTCAGATTTGTTTTGTTTAATTTCATGGGAATTTCAAAAGAAACAAAAATATATTATTCATAAGAAAAAAAGAATATTTTCATTTTATTTTAATTTTCATCTCAGAAGATTTTCCTTAATAATTTCTTCGAATGGCTATTTAACTAAAAATTAGCGGGAGAACTTCCTTCTCTCTTTTACATATTAGATATTCAATTGAAATTATTTATCATCAACAAATTCTCAATGTTTTTCATATGAAAATGACAAATAATTTTGAATTTCAAAGGCATTTCGTTTAGATCTCAATCAATTTCAATAACGTCATTTTCATTCTAAACAATTCTTTTTTCCTTATTCAAATTGAGTTTTGTTAAGTAAACAAAGGAAATGATTTGATTATTTTTTTCTCTTGAATAATAATCATATCTTTTTAAGGATCGAACATGAATATTTCTTTTTACAATAAAAAAAATCAACAAATAAAATTGACCTTCTTCAATTGATTCAGCCATCTCTTAGTTGATATTCCCCAATCATTCGAGAAAATACAACACAAATCATAGGAATCTTTTCGAAATGAATCTCAATGAATGTTTCGAAGAGAAAACATAAATTAACGATATCATTTCGTTTACAGTTCGTTAATATCTTTTATATTTTTCTTATTTTTAGCTCTTTCATTCAATCAACCGAAGTTTTCTTCGACACCCATTTGGAATTCCAATGGAATTACTTTTGCTAATCGATCGATTGTTGGTCAAGCTCCTCGCGCCATTTTTGTGAACACAAATAACAGAATCTATATTGCTGATCGAGATAATAATACAATTGTAATGTGGGATGAAGAGAGTGACAATCCAACAAAGATCATTCACGGTAATTTTACACAACCCACTTCTATCTTCGTGACATTAAATGGTGACATTTATATTGATGATGGTGATTATAAGAGTGGTCGAGTACAGAAATGGAGTGCAGAAATAAATAACTTTGTCAGTGTGATGAATGTCAGTTCAAAATGTTATGGTTTGTTTGTCAATATTAATGATACTCTTTACTGTTCAATGAGTGATCGTCATCAAGTAGTGAAAAGATCATTAAATGATGCTGTAATGAAGTCAAATAGTATTGCTGCTGGAACAGGCACCATGGGATCAGCCTCGAATCAACTGATTAATCCTCGTGGAATTTTTGTCGACGTGAATTTAGATTTATATGTGGCAGATGTTTCCAACGACCGTGTTCAGTTGTTCCAGTCAGGAAAATCAGATGGCACCACAGTAGCTGGAAGTAGATCAGTAAATCCAACAATTATACTTTATCAACCAAGTGGAATTATATTAGATGCTGAGAAATATTTATTCATCGTTGATAGTGGCAATAATCGCATTGTAGGTTCAGGCTTGAATGGTTTTCGATGTTTAGTTGGATGTTATGGAAGAGGTTCACAATCCCATCAATTGAATAATCCATTTAGTTTTAGTTTTGATCGTTCTGGAAACATGTTTGTTACTGATTTCGGAAATGCTCGAATTCAAAAATTTTTATTGATGAAAGATTCTTTTGGTAAGTTGAAGAAAAGTTGAATGAAATGAAGAGATGTGCATAGATGAGTAACAGAAGTTTATACAAACATTTCAATAAAAAATCATAAGGAAACAAAATAGTTGAGAAAGATTAATTAAATCAATGTGTAAAAGAATGTGTCTTAGGAAATGAAATGTTCAGATTAGACAAAGCCATGAGTGAGTCGTCTAAGACAAACAATCTTCGCTTTTTTCTTGAGATTAAAGGATAGAGAAAGAAAAAGTTTTATCCTTGATGAATTGTTATGAAAACCTTCGATATATCGTTCCATATATCTCAGAGAATATTTCATCAATGTAACAGTCGTTATCGAAATAAAATCTATTCATATTTTTTTCGATATAGCTGTAATATATTATTCTATGATTTGACTTTGTATTTCATATTTTGATTAGTTTGATTCAAGAAAAATAGTAGAAATAAAATATTACACTTCTAACAACTAATTTTTCTTCTTTTTTTGTGTAAAATGAACTTATTGTCATTGTTTCTCTTCGAAAGAGATAAATCTTCATTATGAAATATTATAAAAAATGATTTTTCTCATAAAGAAATGTTTGATTGTTGATTTGTTCTTTGGATATTTATGATAATATTTAGTTACAAAGAGTAATATTGAATAGTTGAAGAGAATCTATAATGTGATATATGCAATCGTTAATGAGAGATATATATGACGATATTTTTATAATTATAAACAAAGAATATTTGCTACAATAAATAAAATCTACTGCGCTGATTTTAAATAAAAAAATTTATTTGTTTAATCAAATGCATCATTTATGATGATCAATAAGAAAAATTGATTTTCAATCAAATCTATTTTAGTTTGTTTTTAAATGAAAATTTTTCATAAGTCAATTAACCAAATTTTGTTTACATTTCTGAACGTCATCGATAAAAAGCTTTTTTGATTGATTAAATATTTGTTAGTTATAAAATTATTTATTTTACTTTTCCTTGAAGATGTGTAGTTAATGATTGTTTTCGTTTTAAGAGAATTATTTTTTGTTTTCAAATGAAAATAAAGATTTTCTTGTTTTGTTCTTTATTTCATAGGAAAAATATTGAAATCTGTAAAATAATATTCGGATTTCAAAGAATGATCTTATTTTATTTAGATTGAACAATAATGAAATATTGTGATCTTTGACGCACCTTTTAAGATTTCTTGAGATAGAGAATCTTCGTGTGGCAATTTGTACGAAGAGCATTTGTATAGAAACAAGAAAGCTTTTTTAGATCATAAAAAATCGTATTTTTCCTTTCGTTTTTCTTTTCTTTTTCATCCACTATCGATATGACGTGTAGTAACATTGTTTTATATTTGTTAACGAAATTTACTAAGATAAATCGAGTAATATTCCCAGTAATATAGAGAGATGAAATAACATAGGGACATTTATTGTATCCCTTTGGTTTTTTTCTCTAAATTGACTTTAAATGTTTATCAAAAAAAAATTTAAGAAACGATGAATGAATACTTGAAAATTCAAATTTGTGTTTGAATAAATATTCCAAAAAAAA